CATTTTGCAAACATAAAACTTATAATTTATTTCTTGTTAACTAAATAAACTCTAATAAACAGCGTGTCAAGTTGATTAGATTTAAGTCATAGCTATTGCCTCTCTGACTTCAAATCATAGTTAACTTATTTGACGAAAAGAGTAACGTTAACAACGTGCTTGCAAAGGATAATAATGTGTATAGCACCAGTTGCTATTTCAGATAGCAGAACAATGAGTCCTAAACCTTGTCTTGAAAAACATCTCTAAAACATTTAACCAGGGCTATACTTCACTATAGCAGTAACACAAGAAAGATTCTACTCATCCTGAGATTTCCGTCACACTTTACTATATCAACTTTATTAAAATTAGAAAAAGGTCGATTCATCACTTCACATAACTTTTAACTAATTGTTTATTGTCCAGTTTTGATATTCCAAACATTATGTAAGACATGCTTTAATATTTGCTGATGAGATTAAAGGTTTTCATTGAGCAAGACAATTCTTTAATCCAACTTCATAAAGTGTCTGGTCAATAGTATAAGTTGAAACATCTTGGCCAGTCTTTTTCTTTCAAAGTTGTTGAATTTCAGCAGTATATAAGCAATGATTCTTTCCTTTATTATTATCTACAAGTCACTTAAGCTAGTTTCATTGTAAAGATTTAATAAGGGGTGGTCGACCAGAACAAGGCTTCAAATTAGTAATTCTGATATTATTTATTCTTTTTAAAACATCAAATACTATTGACACTTCACATCCAATAGTCGTGACAATAATTCAATAACTGTTGCTATATCGACAGTAATAAAATATCATTCTGCATTGTTCTTTTAGTAACTCTTTAGTCATTTTCGTAATTTTCGAAAAAAGAAGTTTATTTGAGCTAAGTTAAAATAAACAAATAAAACACGCATTTATTAAGTTTAATTTATATAAACAAAGTTTAAAAAGTCATATAATCACAGTATTATTAAGTCACATGACATTACTAATATGAAATTAAACTTAAAAAATAGTGTTCAGAGACTTTTAGCGATCCTCTGTATATAGTAATAAATATATAGGTCAAATAGCTGTAGAATCTACTTCAGCTGATAATTATCTTAAGTGGCTTAAAGCAGTAGTAAAATGGAAGAAAATCAGAAAAGTTCCTAAAGATTTTTATCTAATATGCTATCTATCAAATATGGCAGAATCTGATATTTTAATTGTATTTCACTTTTCAATAGTTGATAAAATATTATTAGATAGAGAAGATTATATATTGTTAGATAAAAATGAAAAAGATGATGAATTTAAAAAACAAAAATCCTATATTCTTAATATTTAGGTCAAGTTAAAAAAAATAGTTATAATAAATAAATTATTTAAAACTGTTAAACTAAAACTGATGTTTATAGACAAGAATAGAAAATCTAATTCTCTTAAAGCTAATTCTATATTACTTAAAATTTATAAAGATCAGAATTAATTTGATCGTAATATGAAGATAATTATTATTTATCTTATGATTCTAAGAAAAAAAGGTAATTTCAATAAATATCTGGTTTATCAAAAAGAAATTAAGTAATATTAAGAGTAATTATTAGCATGAAAAATACAAATATATTATTTTCTAAAGATTATCAAAAATAGATTAAAAATTTTAAAAAAAAAAGATCAGAAAAATTAGGATGATAGTGATATTAAAGATGAAGGTGATAAATAATTTAATATTAATATTAATAATGAGAATATTTTATGAATATATAACAATTTGAGTTTTTAAATTTAATAAAATTATATTATTAATAAAGTTTTATTCATTTTAACTTATATATATTATGAACATATATTAAAAATTATATATTTGTAAATATTAATTTAATATCATTATTGATCATATAACTATTATAATTAATTTTTTCTCAGCTTTGATTTAATAAATGAAAAATCACATATTTTTTTATATTAATAAATTACAACTAATATATGATTATCTTTACCTAATAATCATATAAAATAATTTTACTAAAAAATTAGAATTATATAATATAAGATTTATATTTTTTTTAGTCTGATATTATTTTTTTAATCATGTTATTATCATATTAATAAAATAATATTCAATATAATTTTTATTTTGCAATCAAATTTTCATATGATAAAAGAATATGTATACTTATATGATATAGACTTTGAATATTTTAAGAAACTTATTTAAATTATATCAAAAGGTTATAATTAAAATATCAAATAATAAGTAATGCAGATAATAATATATTTTAAAGAAATTAAGTATATTAATATAAAATCTATTAGCCTATTAATAGGATTTTATTTGATGATATAAAGAGTTATTTATACTGAAGTTCATATTTTGTTTTAATATGATTAATACTATATTATATAAAGTTCTGTTTATATAATCAGACTGTATTATGTGATATCTTTATATTATTTTAATAATTGTGTAATTATTTATATTAATATTTAGATATTTTACAATAAAAAGAAAGAAAATATTAAAAAAATTTTTTTTACTTTATAAACTAAATATTATTTTTTTAGTAAAATTAATTCAGATTTAACATTAAAACAAAAAAATTTTTTTTTGATAATTTTTTTTCTCTTTACTACAAAGTGCTCATTTGATATATTAATAATTATCTAATTTATTTATATATGCATTAATTTAATATTACTTTTAATTATATTTGTAATTTACAAAATATTGGAATTATAAATTTAAAGAAGAATATATAATATAGATAGATTTAATAATTTTTTTATCTATAAATAGAGTTCTGGATGAGTCAAGTTAACTCACGAGTCAGATAAGCTGAGTTGAGTTCAAATCAAGTTGAGTTTATGTTTTTTTTGACTCGATAATTTGCGAGTCAAGCCAAATTCAAATCAAGTTAAATATTTAACTCGACTCAATTTAAACTTGACTTGATTTAAGTTGATTCGAGTTGACTTGAATGATAAAAAAATTGTTCAAGAAGAATGATGATCTGAATTGTTCAACTTGAACGATAAAAAATCATTCAAGAAGAATAATGACCTGAATCATTCGACTTGAACGATAAAAAAATCATTTAAGAAGAACAATGACCCAAATCATTCTTTTCATTTTTTTTATTATTTTTTTTTTAAAATCGAATCGAGTTAAAATCAAGTTGAGTTCAAATTAAGTCGAGTTTAAAATTTATATAACTCGAATCAAATCAAATTAAGATTTTATAAAATAAATTTGATTTGACTTGACTCGAAAAAAATGAGTCAAATAGAGTTGATCTTTAAACTCGACTTGACTTAACTCATTCAGAACTCTATCTATAAAATAAAGAAAATTTTCTTGTCTAGAACAGTTTAAACATAATATAAATAAGTTAAAAAAAATTATAATAAGTAACATTATAATCATTAAAATCAAATTTTATAAATATATAATATTTTTTAAGTTTAATAGTTTCAATAAAAGTTATATCAACTTAATATATTTTTACTAATAGAATTATTTATAAATTAATTTTATTATCTAAAATTAGTATTTAAATATTTTATTATAATTCTTTATTATGTTATTTTTCATTTTTTTTATTCTCTTTTACAGTATATGATGAAAGTATTTAGAATTACATTTTTATTTATTGTACTTTGAAAATAACTCAAAAATACTTGAAAATTTAAAATTATATATTTTATTATATAACAAAAAATAAATATTAAGCTAAGTCAATAGCTTAGCTTATTGCTATCTCCTTCAATTATTTGTTTCAATAATTTATTCCAATCATTTTAGCATGCTACAAACCAAATTAAAAAGAATTTTAGGCTCAATTCCTCTCACACTTTTTTATAAAAACATTTATAGTAATTTGATTTTTTATTAATTACAAGATTTTTAACCTTTTTTTTACATATTTTTTCCAAAATTGATCACAAATTCTCATTAGATTTAAATCTAAGCAATTTGATCGCTAATTCAACAACCTAAGATATTATTTAGAAAGAAGTTTTTAGTTTTCTTGGCTGTATGTTTAGGGTCATTATCCTGTTGAAAGACCCAGTACCTTCCCATTATATAATATCTAAAAATGGCTAATACAATGATATCACATAAAAAGTTATTTAATAGATTATATATTGCAGGAGAAAATCGTGATTTTTTACATCAAATTTTAATTTCAGAAACTTTTATTGCACACTATATTTATTATTATTATTTATTTTTATAATTATTCTAAAATCTAATTATCATGATTTTACATTTTAATTTAATCTTTCTTATTATTTTTTTTCTGTTTTTATTTCTTTTTAAGATTTTTCTTATTCTTTTTATATAATCTTTTTCTTTATTATTTTTTAGTTATTTCTTCTCTTTAATATGTTATCTTTCTTTTATTTTAAATATTATTATTAGTCTAAAATAAAGTAAAAGATTATACAGTCTCTAGCAAAAAGAATAGTAAAAAGTTTTTTTAAATAATAAAAGTTTTAATAAATAACTTTCAAAATTTATTTTATTCTCAAATGCTTTTAATTAAGGAATTATATACTTAAAAAATTAAAATATAAAAAGTATTATCTTCTCTGTCAATCTGGATTCAAATACAAGTTAAAATATTAAAAAATTAGAAAATTAACCTTTCTTCATATTAATTTAATTTTATGTTTTCTATTTTCTACTTTTTTAATTAATATTTAGTTAACTATTTTTTTTATTAATGGTGAAGCTCGTTAGCATAGTAAAAATTGTTTATAATCTTAATTTTAATAATTATATACTTAAATTTAATCTTGTTTTACAATTGCAAAAATTTTATTTGAATAGAAATATGTATTGCAGACTTCAAATAATATATATAGTATTTGAATTAGTAATACATATAAAATACTATATAATTGTTTATACAAATTTTTCAAAAAAATGTTAATTGTTCAGAGCGTTAGCAAAGGATATTTTATTGTTATATATTAGTCAACTTGATGATCAACTTCTGTACATTTTCTTCCTTTCATCCACTTACATCATATTGTATCTGCCCTTGCTATTTCCTTTTAAAATGAAAACAAATAAACAAAATTAATAAACAATAACACAAAATCACTGATAATCATTAATGATAATTATTTTTGATAATTTTTTTTATTTGTTTTCACAGCGAAAATTTAAACTTTTGTCATTTTTCTTAATCTAGTTTCTTCTGCTATTTACTCTTTTAACCTTTTACAGTTTTTTATATGTTCAAATTTGTTAAAGCTAAAGTACTTGAAAGAATATTATCAAGAGAATGAACATAAGAAATTAACACAAATGATAAGCTGCCGCAAACTCCTTCTTCTTAAGGTCTATAATTACTTTTGATAAGGTCAGTTCTTACGATTTATGTGCTGTAATAGCCATACAAGAGAAAGTGGAACCTATAAGCGAGAACAAATGCTAGTATTACCTTCCCACATACATCTTATAGGAACAATAAATACAACCTTAATCTCGCCTATATTTGTAAAAGTTGGCCTATTATACTTGTCAAACGAAACTAAAATAACTACAGATAAGGAGGTGTACTCAGGTTTTTCTTTAAATAATATATCTGTTATTGTACCTATTGCACTATTAACAAAACCAGCTGAGACCCATATATTTATAATAAGCATAACACGTACATTTCTGAATAATAATAGTTCAGCTTCAAATCCTTTTGCAGTATTGGAATCAACCCTTAAAGCTTTAGATCCACTCGTATAAATTGCATAAATCTTGATAATAGGTTGGTTTATCGACCGAAGTTTGTTCAAATTTATTCTATCTACAGTCAACTCTTATTATAACAAACTCTATATCCTAGACCTCAACTTCGCTATAAGGCTATAGTGAAGATTTTAAGAGATTTGATTAGCCAATTCGCTATAACAAAAGTATTTTTATTATATTTGTTCAAAAAATTCGTTATATTAAGAGTTCGCTATATCAAGAGTTGACTGTACTTCTTCCCATATTGTTAGGATATTGATGGCATCTGAAAATTTTCCTCTTTCTAATTCAGAAATGTTTTTCAGAATTTGTGTCATTAATAATTCACAATCTGATATTGTAGATTATCCATCGTGTAAGCAATATAATAAATCTCTAAATTATTTTTATTGATCTGAGTTACCTTTTTATCTTTGTATAGCCTCAAGTTAATAAATTTCTTAAAATTGGCTATAGGCATCACAACCATCCTCAGATAAATGATCTGACTTGTGAGAATCCTGGGAATACATAGAAATATCACATATTGGAGGAAGCTGCCCAAAGTCTCTAATAAGAATTATAGACCACCAAAGAATATTGGAGTG